TGTGTTACGTTAATTCATTTTAAAAATTAAAAAATACAAAACGAAATGTTGTCACATATTGAACAAAAAATACTTCGTAAGATTTCTTTTGTAAAAGTCTTTAGGATTTGATTGAAATCCTGGAAATATTCTTTTTAAAAAAATTCAGTCTTATGAGCAATGCTAAAGATAAAAAGTCACACTGAGATAAAAAATTAGACATTTATTTTAAAAATATTTCTTGGCTTTTAGTGAACGATTAGGAGTAATTTTTAGTAATGAAACTACCCATTAATCATTTTAAAGAATAGACACCAACGTGAAGATAAGCCAAGCTGTCCATCAACACAAAACATATCAAGAACATTACACGATGACAAACAATAACACCAGTAGTGTAGGCAGGATTTCTAAAATGCTCATTTCTAAAATATAATTATAATGTTTATTCTTAAGAATAAGCATTATAATTAAGTTAATATGTTTTTGTCACGTGTCAAAAACATATTAACTTCAAACATATTAACATGTTAATTCTAAATTAAGAATAATTTTTTAAATGAAGATTACAATAAGTTAACATGTAGACGAAAGAGATGAGACTTTTTGTTCCTTGCTACTTTATATTATAATCGAAATGAAGAGGAAGAGACTACCTGGCCTAGTTTTACTGGTTTTAGAGTACAGTTGGCGCATAATTCATAATACAAAAATCAGAAGATTTTGAATCTATTAATTAAGCTGTTTTTATTACCGGATTTGGTGGATTTAATTACATACCCGCAAGCTAGTTTTATAGTCGTTTGACAGCTGGCGTATATTTCGTAATACAAAAATCATTTAATATTTATATCTTATATTTGAGCATTTCTATTACCAGATTTGGGTTTTCTGTTTGTCACCTTTTGGAGTAATTAAATTTTTTTTATTAAGTTTAAGAATATAATTTTTTTTTCATACCGTTTGGTACTTATTAGGACTCTTGACCAGTTAATTTTGAAGCAAATTTCAATTTGCATGTAAAACCTTTTTTCTATAAGAAAGAAAATTGTCTCTTTAATGTGGAATATCTTTAATGTTAAACGCATAGACTTAATTACCAAAAACATAAGTATCTCTATCATCACAACAAATTTGTAACAGTTTCATGTTTTTAGATTTTTTATAGAGCATTTTAAAAAATTCTCTCCCTTTAGTTTGTTGTAGTATTTAATATCTTTATATATATGTAATGCATATAATATCTATAGGTCTTTAAAAATGATTTTCTTTGTTTTCTAGTAAATTGGAAAAAAAATTTTAAAAAAATGTGTCAGCAAAAGGATTTGAACCCAAACGAAGCACATCAACCGCTTTGGCATGCTGTATCATCTTTTAACACCTTTTAATAAATAGAAGACTTATTTAACTTTATAAAACGGCATATAAATGCTTTTAAAAAATAGATATTGCCGCAATGAAATTTTTAAGTAAAAGTAAATCTGTATAATTTGATGTAATCTACTTTATAATAATACTGATTGTTAATTAAAAAACTTGAAGTTTACATAGATATTTGCATAGACTTTCGTTCACATAGATAAAATACAAATCATTACGGTTGTGGTTCAAATAAAAGAGTAATACACTAACGTCCATAATTATTCAAATGGTCATATTTTTTGATATAAAATATCAAAGTTGGGAGAAAAATTGAAAACAATATCAACCTGAATTACGTTATCTTCCTATTTTTTAGGTTTTACAAATAAAATTACCCTGATTTGTTTATAATTTATAAAAAACCCTGATTAGTTTATAATTTACTTGTCTATTAATCACCCTTAGCAGCAATAACCGCCATATATATTCTTTGCATTCTACTTAACGACTTATTTAATTCGTCAATTTTATGTAACTATGTTTTTTCGAAAAAAAAAAAAAAAAATACACCACATGTATTACATGTAGATCAATTTATTTATACATAATAATAAAACAAAATATATAAAAAGTTTTATTTACAAAAAATAGTAAACTCCAACAACATCATCAACTAACAGTTGGTAGATTAACTACAAAAATACTAATTATAGACATTACTTATTTTGCCACATCTCTCTTTTCTCATATTTTACTTTTCATAGGATCCTTATTCAAAAAAGAAAAAAGATTTTTAATCATTTTCTTAATAAAAACATTATATTTACTTAATTAAAACATTATATTTAACCCTTACTGTGTTCAAAAATAGTTTAGGTCACCGCGTGTTAAGCTTGATTTTTTTTTAATCAAAATTTTTTAATTTTTCGAACGTAAAACATTGTTAAAATTTCGTAAAACAAACGTAAAAATTTCATCATTCTTTTTTAAAGTGTTTTATTTTTAAAAAATCAATAGAAAAAAAGGGGCACTTTCGATAGGACTTGAACCCTGCCGGCGCGCAAACCGCTTGGCTATGTTAACACTTACTATATGCAAAATTTGAAAATATTTAAAATTCAAAAGTCTATATAAAACGGAAATAAATGCTATAGATCAAAATTAAGATGTTGTCGCAATGCAAGTAAAACTGAACCTAATTATTATTACAAAACTTAATATTACACAAATAATAAAAATTACACTAAACATACAGTTTCGTTCAAAGATGCACCTTCGTCTAAAGATGCACTTTCGTTCACGTTTTCTTATAAAGCAAAGCTGCTGCAACTCTTTCTCGCCATTACCTCGGTTGCAATCGCTGCCAAGGGTACCGTGTCAAACAGGCTCAAAATTGCACTACTATTAAGTTCAGTATTATTAAATAGATTCAAATATTAGATTTTTAATTATTTTTCAATTTAATAAAACAATTTTTTTTTTAGTTTTGTTGTAAAGAAGCAGAGCGTAGCAAAGGGGAGAGGGGGAAGGGGTGGACCGGCTTAGGCTTTTTTGTAAGCCGCAAATTTATTATAAAAAATTATAAAACTTATCTATGTTGCATCCCTACCCGAATGCTATAAAACAGTATTTGATATTTTGTTTTAAAAAAGCTTCAAACTACTTTTTATAAAGCATAATAATATTAAAGATCTTCAATATAATCTATGTATATAATCTCTATATTTTTTTTAACTGCAACGACTTCACAACTTTTTTTCCCACAAAAAAAACAAAAAAGTCATAACTAAGTAAAGAAAAAGAAAAGAAAGTAACTAACGAACTTACGAAAAAAGATTATATAAAGAGATATATTCTCGTGGGATGTTTTGACTTCTGTAAAAACGTTTGTTTTGTCCAATTTATGGAAAAAAAATTTTCCACTTTATGCAAAAACAAACACAAACAGTGCAAAAAAAGATGCAAAAAGTGTCGTAAAAAAATTATTTAAAAATCTAAAATGTTTTAGAACAATTAACTTGCAAAGTGTAAAACAGATGTACTAGATCAAATGCTGTTGGTTGCATTGTAATCATTTTTGTTATTATGCTTTCTTGGATTGTGGAAGTCGGTCTTTTAAGAAATAAATTAACCCAGATCTGGTAGTAAATAGTATTAAGTTTAATGAAATAAATAGAACAAACAAGAAATGTACATACATTGACGGACAAGGTAAAACATGCAAGGAGTGTACAAACATCGACTGAAAAATAGGAAAAAAACGGGTAATATGTTGTTTTTAGATTTAAAACAAAGAACATTAAAAACATTTAGTTCGTACCTATTGAGTGCTTTCATTCCATATAAAAGAGACTTTGCATGAGCAAAACGGTCCTTGAAATTTATAAGACGTGCAACATGCTTCTGTTGCAGATAGAAAGGTTCAGGTTTACCTTTTTTTGCACTACTCCATGCAACGGTTTGCATAGTTAATATGACAATAAATTAAAGAGTAATATAACTGAATTAAGAAGGTACGTTTGTTAAGAAGGCTTCTTGTTTTGTATAAAATATCTATACTCTTTGAATTTTTACCGTACAAGTTAATAATGTGGTTTTTCCATATTAAATTTTCGTCAATATAGACACCTAAAAATTTGATGTTTTTCAAGAACTTTTCAACTTTGTGTAGCTTATTTTTAATGTAGTTCTTATTAATTTATATTTTTTAAAATTATTAATGTTTTTGAAGATGACTGCAGAAATTTAGTAAAGGTTTTAATGAATGAAATTTCTGCAAAAGGTCTAAAACTTAATAACAATGTAAATTTTTATAAATGGAAGCTGAGTGAACTTCAATATTATTTTAAATTATCGAAGAGCTATCATGGTTTAGTAATTTAAATAAGAAAAAGTATTAGAAAAAGTTATTTACGTTTGGAATATTTTAAATATCCCAGGCAATACCAGAACCCATTGCGCGCTTAGCAATTTTAAAGTTATCAAATATCGTCTGTTATTATATTATCCATATAAAGAAAAGGTAGGTTACTAGGTAACCTACCTTTTAATTTTATCAATATTTAATGACAATTTATTTAATTAAACCATTCCAAAAATTTTACTAGTTCAATATTCATGTTGTTAAAAAGCGTTATAATGTTATTATGAAAAAAAAATAAGTTGGAACCATCAACAAACATAATTTTTGTTAGGTTAGAAACTTTAGGTGGATCATTAATATACAATAAAAAAAGGAGAGGTCCTAAAATGGATTCTTGAGGAACTCTACACTCTACATTTAACCAATTGGATGATATATTCTCGTCCGCATAAATAAATTGCTTTTAATTACTTAGGTAGCTTTTTAGCCATATTAAAATATTTCCAGGAATTCCGTACCATTCTAAATTTTAAAAAAAAATTTCTATCAAAGGCTCTAACCAAATCAGTAAAAATACCCAATGTAAACTTATTTTTTTCAAATGAATCAGAAATATTTTAAGTAAATACACCAGTTCGAGCCGCGTTACGGAGAATAAAAAGAAAAGACTGGATCGAGTTTATAAGGGAAACAAATCAAGTCGGAAAATTTAATTCTTGAGTAAACGAAGTATAAACAAACAACTAAAACAAATCCTATCACTATTAAAACAAATATATAACATATATAAATCAAAATGGATTATGATACAGTGTGTAGTATGAAGGTTGAAGAACTGAAGTCTTATTTACGTCTTCGTGGCTTGAAAATATCTGGAAAGAAAGAAATTCTTGCAGAACGAGTCTATTGTGCAATGGAAAACAATGTTACGCCTATTAAAACAGCTGAAGAGGTGGAGCATGATATACTTACTGAGTACAAAAAAAAAACTTTTTATAAACGGCGTTGAACTACCTGATCCTTTTAAGCTTAGTAATGGTTGGTTATCAGAAGATGAAGGTCTAACTTGTTGGCCAACATTGTTATATCCTGATATTTACAATTATTTGTTATTTAACCCTGCTGAAATTGCAAGTAAAGACTTAAGTGACTACAAAACGTGTAAAGCTTATAGTTATTTTAAATGTGGCTGGCTTGAATCTTTATTTTACCATCAAATAGGAATAGAGAGTGAATATTGCTATTTAAAAGGGAACTGTAGGAAATCTGAAAAAATTAATGATCCCTTTCACAAGCTATGGATTATTATTAATAAAAAAACTGCTAAAATAATTTCAGCACATTGCACTTGTCTAGCTGGTCTATCGCAGACATGTAATCATGTTGCTGCAAGCCTCTTTCGAATAGAGGCTGCTGTTAGAAATGGTTTGACAAATGTAGCTTGTACTAGTTTAAAATCAGAGTGGCTTCCAAATCGTAGCATAGTAGCACCAACAAAAATATGTGACTTAAAATTTGATCGTGATGAATTTGGTCAGCGTGAAAGAAAAAAGCGTTCACTAGTATCAAATGAAAAGCGTAATTACAGCCCATTAGTAAACTGTGATATAAAGCTTTTAAATTTAACAGACATAGCAAAAGCAATCGAAACTGTTGCTCCTCATAGCATTATAACTTCTGCTGTACCTAAACCTGAAATTTATTATATGGAAGAATTAGTCGTGTTTGAAAATGTTACCAAACCTACAATTTTGACCATGGATGATATTATTGTTATGTCAGACAATAAATTTTCTTTTTGTGAAAATATAAAAACAAATATGACTCAAAAAATATTTACAAATATAGAGCGTCTGACTATGGGTCAAAACACAAATAAGCTTTGGTTTAATTTTCGAAAGCGAGTTATAACTGCTTCAAAAGCTCACGATGTTCTAAAAAAAATTAAAAAGATTAACATGGGCATTAAAGTTGACATGTGGTCATTACACCAAAGTATTTCAGGGTTAACTTTTGTGAACCCAGATATACCTGCATTGAAGTACGGGAGAGCGATGGAAGTTGAAGCAGCAAACCAGTTTTTTGAAGTTATGAAATCCTTTCATCAAAATTTAACTGTAAATGAATGTGGATTATTTTTAGATGTAGAAATGCCCTATATAGGTGGAAGCCCTGATAGAATTGTTCGATGTTCGTGTTGCCCGCCAGCTTGTTTAGAAATAAAATGTCCATTTTCTATAAACCATACATCACCACAAGATCCTAATATATCTCTTCCTTATATTACAAAAAAGTTAAATGAAAAATTTGTCATTAACAAAAAGCATAGATACTATACTCAATGTCAGGTTCAAATGGGGACTGCTAAGATGATTAATTGTTATTTTATGGTATGGACAGCTCATGGTTATATAATTGATAAAATTGCATTTGATGAAGCTGGTTGGTTGAGTATGAAAGTTGATTTCTTTAAGTATTACAACGATCATTACTTAAATACTGTCTTTGTAGATTTTACTATTAACTGATTGGAATAAAATTATGAAAATGAAAATCTGTGTTTTAAATTATAAAACCCTTCTTATATTTAAATTGGCATTTATAGATTTTTTTTTTCCTATAAAAGAAGACAATAAGATCCAAATAATGATGTAACAATATTTAGGTAAAGAATATACTCAAAATCAAAAAGTTTATCCACGCCTCTTATTATAGTAAAAAGAAGTAATAAAATGAAACACATGTATTCATTAAAAGTGCACGGTGGTGTCCGGCATCCCTTACAAGTAATTAAAAATTAAAAAAACAACCTCAGTAATTAAATAAAAAAATACAACCTCAGTACTATCATGTGTTTAATACAAGAAGGGGAGGAAGTTTAGTAATTTTCCAAAAGTTTTCCCACCCACAAATGTTTATTAAGACCACTCCCCCTCCCATTTATTAACACCAAAAATTAAAAAAATCTCTTTAATCTTTGTGGAAAATAATGTTTTGATTTTAATAAAATAAACTTTTCCTCACTTTATACACAGGGTGGCCACAGCTCCTCTAAAGTCCTCTTTATTTTTAAATCTCCTCTAAAGTCCTCTATTATCCTCTAAAAAGTTGAAAACGTGATCCAATCTCCTCTATAACTCCTCTTTTTTTTTTTTTTTTTTGAAGTTTACTCATTTTTTAGAAAAATTAAAAATATTTTTAAATATATTGGAGATTTTTAAATATAAAATGGAGGTTAAAACTATATAAAAATCTCCTCTAAAATCCTATTTTTATTCAAAATTGTCTAGTTTTGCGATTAAAAATTCTCTAAATTTAATGCAAAATATCTTCTAAAATCCTCTAATATCCTCTTTTTTTTATGAAAATTTTGTGTGGCCACCCTGATTATATTATTGTAATTATAAAACAGTTGTTAAAGATGCACAGTTGACCACAATCCACACTAACTTAAATTGATTTATGCAAGTTCTGTAAAAAAAAAAAAAAAAGCCAACCCTTAAATTAAGATTATTATTTATAAGGTCAGAAATAAAATATACACCCTTTCTTGTATTAAGCATTTAAGAGTAGTACTAAATTAAAAAATATATATACATTTTAAACGATTTTTTTTATTAAAGCAGGCTTTAAATTGCACAAAGCTGCACACGATAAAATAATATCATCCATATGATGAAGCATTGAAATAGGTAATACATTTTTTAATATTCGAAAAGTTTTTATTCTGTTTATAGCCCTTTCTATGTGAATTCTTAAGTTAGCGACATCAGTAGTCTTCTTACATTCACTTGCAGTCATTTGACTTTTTACTCTTGCACCTGGTGGGACTGATAAGCTGCAATAACAAAATAATAGTTCTTCTCTTATTTGAAATCCTCTGTCTGCCATCACCTCATCGTCTCTTTCCAACAGATCATAAAAACCACTGTCACTTGTAATAAATTTATCTGATGATCTGCCACCGTAACATTTGGATAGAAACGTTATGTATCCATTTGGTGCTATACCAATTAATACTTTCACAGTGTTGTGATGCTTATAATCAGACCAAGTCACTGCTTGGTTGTAAAGGGACTTTGGACGTTCAATAAATATTTCAAAACAATCAAGAATCACTCTACACTTGTGATGCTTTGCTTTCACAAAAGACTGTGGCAAGTTTTTTTTTATGACTTCACTTGGCAGCCAAACAATAATAGCTTGTCCAAGAATATTAGCAATAATTCTAATAAAAGTTGTAAAAGTATTAGAACACAAAGATTTTGAAATACCAAAACGATCAGCCATATCTTCATTTAATAAACCTAAGCGCAACCGCATAAGTGTCATTAAAAGTTCTTCTCTGTGTGATAACAGTTTACATTTAGATACAGATTTGAGTTGCTTAACTTTGCTATGTGAATGTTTTGGGCCTCTCTAATAACGAATTGAGGGTAAAAATGGTTTTAATAAACCAAAAATAACGTTAAAAATAGCTATGGAAGATATACCAGTATAAAAGTTCATTTTCTTATCATTGTTAACTAATCTCCAAGAGAATTTTTGTTTAGACTTGACTGTTTGTTTTATTTTTAATTTTTTTAATTGATTAGTAAGGCTATTTACTTTACTCACGTAAGAGGTGATAAGCGAAGATTTGTATTCACATGAAGTACATTTATTAGGTAGTGGTAAACTCATTGAATAGGTATGGTCTGATAATATAGGTGACAAAACATCTGCATTAAAACTAACACTTGGAAACTTGGTGACATTACTTTTTTCAGTCAACAAAGGTTCTACAGGCTGCATTTTATTAGAACAATGTAAAGAAGTGATTGGGTGCTTTAATAATGTTCTTCTAGCTTTTTTTTGTACAGGTTGATCAAAACCCATATTTATTGTTGGATTAGGGTTCATAACAGTTGGTATTTTATCAACAAAATGATCAGAGCATACTCTATCAGCAGTTCCAGGTTCCCATGCACTTCCTTTCTTCTTTCCTTCTCGTCTAAGCTGACTAATCCAGTGTTTTCTTATTTCGCTATTTCTCTTTAAACTTGGGAAACAAAACATTCGGAATGGTAACTCACATCCACACTCGGATAATATCTTCCCTTCGTGTTGAAAACACGTTTTATTTTTCAGTTTTTCTAGCTTATAGGAACTATTGATACATCCTATAACAGCACAATTAACTTTCATCTTATCACTATATATTGTATCACTAATTCGCAACTGAGAAAATAAATATTTACCCTTCTAAATTCGTTCCAGGACTTTTCTTTGCGCGGTATTAATAATGGCAGAACTTCCCTTGAACTGGTGTATTGAAAAATTGCATGCTCAGTAGAGTTGTTTTTTCGGAATCCATTTTGATTACAGTATAATAAATTGTTAATAGTCAGTTGATTATAAATTTTGTTTAATACCAATATTAAAATGTCACCACTTTTTAATATTGGTATTAATGTCACCACCTTTAAATATTGGTATTAATGTCACTACCTTTTAATATTGGTATTACTGTCATCACCTTTTAATATTGGTATTACTGTCACCACCTTTTAATATTTACTTTTGTTAATTTTAAAGCTTGTTTTCAAACCCTCAAAAGCTAATTTGAAAGAGTTGAGGTAAAAGTTTATTGGGAAACTTAGGTCTTTTATTAAAGTGTTAGATTTAGGAATTATTTTGGTCCAAAGTATTTATCAAATTCTTCCGCAATCTCTTTTTTATCATATAAAAAAATCATTATTAAGTTAAAATGTATTAGGCAGAGACCGTGATATAAACTTTTTGATGCCAGTAACTTCTCCGATCATAAACCACGTGCGTTTAGAAATTAATTTATATTAATCAAGTAAATTTATGTAATAACTTTTTTTTATTTTTTCTTGAGACGATCAAAAAGGTTACCATAATTTTTATATGTAATTTTATTTTCATTTGTTTTAGTTTTTAAGTATTTAATGTATAATTTTTTTTGATTTTAGAAGACCTCCGCAAACCTTTTGAAATCCAAAACATTTTAATACCTTTAGCTTTGAGATTTGAACTAGCTTCAGGGAAAATAGTATCGTAAATATCATAAAACATTTTAAAAAAGGAGTTGTAAACTAAGTCTGCCTCATCAGAAGAGTTAATACTATTCCAATTAATTAGAGATTCAAGGTTATTATTTGAAAAATTGCGCTTTTTTAAAAACTCGTGTTTCAATTATATAGTAAATTTGTATCAACATTCATAGAAAAAAAAATAGGAAAGTGATCTTGTCATTATTAATTATAATATGTCATTCTTAATTATCCTTTTTTTTAAAGATTAGTTAAAGATATCTGTGGTTATAATATTATCAATTAAAGAAGAATTTGATTGAGTAACTCTTGTAGGTTTGTTAATTAAAGAAATTGCTCCATTTTCAAATATATCATTATAAAACTTTTTAATGTTATTATTGACGTGATATTGAAAACAATTTAAATTTAGATCACCCAATTAATAGATAAATTTCTTCTCGTGGTTACTTTTTTAATAACATCATTACATAAAAATGAATAAAATTTTAAATTTCACCCGAAGGTGGGCGATAGCAACAACTTAACATAATTTTGTTTTGTTTTATTGGTTGAAATTTCTATTGCTTTTACCTCTTTATCGGTATCAGAAATGCTTATATATATATATATATATATATATATATATATATATATATATATATTATATATATATATATATATATATATATATATATATATATATATATATATATATATATATATATATATATATATATATATATTTCTAACACCAATGAGAACGCCTCCTCCACGCTTATTTGTTTTTCGTCGTAATGAAACTTAGTTAAAACCCGGCAGTTTAAAATTTGTAAATGAATTTACGTCATCCGAACTGCACTAAGTTTCTGTTAAGCAAAGTTTCTTCGATAAAATTACAAAAATTTCAAAGTTTTTTCTTAAAAAAAAACTTTGAAATTTTTTGTCAAAAATTTTTTTTCTTAACAAAATAAAGTTTAAGGTGAGTTTCCACTCATCCGTTTTTCTACGGAAAGGGAAAGGGAACGGAAAAATAATCACGTGAGCATGCTCGGACAAATAAAAACTTTTATTACGCATGCTCACGTGATTATTTTTTCCGTTCCCGTAGAAAAACGGATGAGTGGAAACTCGCCTTAATGCAATTCACATTAATAAATTTCGTATATTATTGTGAATTGCATTAACTTTATTTTGGTCAAGAAATCCTTTAATTTCATGTATATAAAATTAGTTTCAAAGCATGAGATTCAGAAAAATAATTTAGGTCAGGATCAGATTCATTGTCTAATAAAAAATCATTAGTTTGAAAAAAGTTATAAAAACTAGACTCACAATTCGGTAAAATCCATTTTAATTTTTCTGAACTCACAACGTATTACGTTAAATAGTTAAACGATTCTTGTTTATTTATCTTAGCTTTTTGCGCTTATAAACTGTTTAATAATATCATGTCTTATAAACTGTTTAATAATATCAACTGTTTTTTAAATTCTTAGTAAATACTAAAAAAGTATATATAAATATATTTAATGTTTTATTAGGCTTTCATTGAAAAAAAAAAAAAACATGAGAAATCAACGTGGCAACAAAAATAACATCAAAATTAACAACAAAACAAAAACAAAAAAAAAAACAAAAAAAAAATACGAAAACAAAAAACAACAATAAGAGGCTCATTAGCATAGAAAAAAAAAATTAAAACAGAAAAAAAAATCTATTAAAATTATTAATGATTTTGTCAGTCTTATTTTTTTAGGCACTCTGTTTTAAAAAATATTTTGCAATACTTTTACTTAGCAGTAAAAAGTAGTAAAATTTAAATAGTAACAACAGTAATAAAATTTAAACAGTAAACAACTTTCTTATGCTATTACAACAACTTAATTGCTAGCTTCTACAACAATTTTATTACTAGCTTCTTCAACAACTTCTTTACAAGCTAATAAGTTGATGTGAATCACATCAGTAGATCAAGCAGCCTTGCTCCGGAAGCAGATTAACTCAAATTATATTAATTTATCACAATGCAGCGTAAAAAAAAATGAATCGCTTTCGTTAAAATAAAAATTGCTTTGAAATTTAAAAAATCTTTTCTTTAGAAGCATATTTGAAGTGAAAAAAATTAAAATTTAAAAATCCACACGCGTCATTAGAAATTCAAAGGCTTCTAACTAAGAATAGTACCATTTTAAAACAGCGTCGTTAAAAGTTTTTGACTTTTTAAGTTGACAGTAGGCAATAAAAGTATTGTTTAAATATGTAGCAAAAACAAAACGCGATATGAGAACATAAAAAAAACTAAAATTTCAAAACGTTTGAACAAATAATCCAGAAAAATTTGCTATTTTTATTTTTTAAAAAGTCAATATCTTCGGTTTCTTTGCACACATTTTGAGTGATATAGAGGTTTATTGACATATCATACGATTAATCAGCAATTTTTGCTCGTGTTAGTGACTTCTAATTAAATTAAATTTAGATTACGTTCTAGGTTTAAATAACAAACATTAAAAACTATTTTTTTTTTTAAATAAACTTTTATGCAAAAAAATATAAAATAAAAATTTTCTAATACAAAACGTTTTTTAAAAATTAATAAAAAATCTTTTTTTGTATAAATTTAAGATTTAAATAAAAAAAATTTCAATTTATATTTTATTAGAAACTTAGTTCAACCATCTTTTGAACTACTTTTATTCGTGGTTATTTTTAGAGACCTGTCAAAAGTTTTAAGACTTTGAGCTTTATATCTATAAATTTTATTTCAGAAAACACATTTAGGAGAGTAGCCCGATATGAATTTAATTTATTTTTACATTTATGGAACAATCTATTGTGGCTCAGTAAATTATCAACGATACAAAGTCCGCTATTTTTTGTTTCCAACTGCATTCCACTCTTTCCGGACAGCAATATATATATATATATATATATATATATATATATATATATATATATATATATATATATATATATATATATATATATATATATATATATATATATATATATATATATATATATATATATATATATATTATATATATATATATATATATATATATATATATATATATATATATATATATATATATATATATTTATATATATATATATATATATATATATATATATATATATATATATATATATATATATATATATATATATACATATATATATATTAATATAAATTCTCCGTTGCCTCTTTGAAATTTTTTTTTTAAAGTTAATAATAAAAAAATTTTTCCTAAAAAAAAAATTTATGAAAATATTTCATATTGGGGTAATCTAAATTAAATTTAAAATCATCATTCATAAATACTCTCATCTATGAAAAGTGAATTTAAAAGATCCCAATATCGGATAAATTGCATTTAAACAAAAACTGCAATAAAATGATTTATTAATCCAAGTTGGTAATAACAAATGGTAGTAAACAAGGCAATTTATTCAGTTAAATAATAAATAATTTTTAAAGTTTTATTGCATAATTAGAATCCAGTTTACATATTCAATAATTTATGCAAAACTAACTGCATAATTAACTGAGTATTTGTCTTTTACAAAGTTATTTGGCTATTGAATAAGATTCATATCAAGTGATTTGTGTCGTGTGCAAAATCTTATGCAATTTTTACTTATTTTATTTTTTTATAGTTACGCTCGAAAATGGCCATTTGGATATGGGTTGCTTTAATCGTATCAACACATGCTAAATACTCAGAGAATCAAAAAAATGAACTAAAAACTTTTATAAATGAGATTTCGATTGATTTAGCCGTTGATATAAAAGGTATTTTTACTCCTAAAGATGTAAGCAATCTTTTGACTAAACTCAACTTTAGAAATTGCAGCGAAAATGAAAAGTCTGAGTTTTGTAACTTGGTATGTATAAAATTTTATTATTGAACTTCTACCTTTTGAAGTTTCTTTAGTTTTTAAATATTAACTTTTTTCATAGTGTTATACGTATGAAGATTTTATGCAGTTTTTTGATAAAAGTTATTATAATCAAAACCTGACTAATCAAGAATTCATGAAAGTTCTCAGCGCTTGCATTTACTTATTAACTTCATTATCAAAAAATAGTGTCGAGTGCAAAAAATTCCGTTCCGTTGTTGTAAATGTTTCGTCATCATATGACAAGGAATTAAGAAAGAAGTATGGCGTTTATATGAGTGATAAATACTATATAAAAAATATTCTTCGTGACATCAATTCAACATTGGGGGTATTTCTTACCAATAAAGAGGTAAGGTTTCGTTATTACGCATTATGAGACGTTCTACAGTAGTTAAAACTTTGTTTTTTCTTATTGTCATTTTTTTATGTTTTTGTTAACGACGTAGTTAAGATTATTTTGCAGAATTACTTTTGTCTATATTTTAAGTTTAACTTATGTTTTAAGTATAAGGTGATAAAAGTAAAAGAGAAAGTTATTTTAGTTGACTTCAATATCCGCTCTAGGCTATTAGGTCATTGTTTCTCAGTACATAAAAAAAACGTGACATGAAACTCTCAGCATTAATAAAATTGATAGCCTATAAAATAATAAACTATCGCCTCATAAATGTTTATTTAAAAAGTATTGCATCATCATACTTATTTTGCATATAAATTTTTGCTATTCAATATCTAATCATTGTTCTTAAATACTCACAGCTAATAATTGATACAAAAACAAAATTTATATATATATATATATATATATATATATATATATATATATATATATATATATATATATATATATATATATATATATATATATATATATATATATATATATATATATATATATATATATATATATATATATATATATATATATATATATATATATATATATATATATATATATATACTATCATACTTTAATATTTCACTTCATATGTTTTGTATTCTATTATGGTATAATCTCATGCCTTTACCATGAAAATTATAAAAAGGGGGAGGGTTTCTTTTTGAAAAAAAAAGCAGTTCAAAATAGCAACTAAAAATCTTGCTAAATTTTATAATAAAACTTGCAAGAAATAAAGAGAATTTGAAAAAATTGAGGGAGGGGATTGATTGCATCCAACAACTCCCTCCCTCCACGTTATGGACATTAATATCATCATTGACATTTTATGACTTTTTTATATTCATTAAGATATTAATAGAATATATTTTACAAATATAAATATTTTAATCCTTTTTGTTATTTTATAATCCCTTTTATTTTTAGGTAGATTAAACCAGTGTTAGAAAAAACCCAAGGTTTTTTAAAAAAACCCAACCCTAATGGTTTTTTTTAGGTTTTATTGGGTTTTTTTGGATTTTATAGGTTTTTGGGGTTTTTTTAAAAACCGATCAAAATACCAAATTTTTATAATTGTATGTGTATAATAATTTTTTTTAAATTTCATAAATTCACCTCCCTATTGCTCCAATGACCACTTCAGTCAAGGGAGCAACTCATTTTTTAAAAATATTTTGTCTCAATTCTTAACATTACTTAACAATCCTTAACTATTATCTAATATTGATTGTATAATATTTTTATTATTATTGTTATTATTGTTACTAATAATATTCCTCTTCATCATCAGCTTATTATTATTATTGTTAATATTATTTCTATAATTATTATCAATACTATTATTATTGTTATTATGATCACTTTTATTGTAATGTTGCAGGTTTTTACTTTAGATTAGTGCTTGTACTATTTGTAAAAGTCCTTGAAATTTTACAACTTATTTCAGAATATATATTGAATTGAATTACCATTTTTACTAACAAACAACATTGACAACTCAAAATTTTTAAACAAAGGCGCTGTGCATTTTTTGCATTAGCTGTAGCATTTTTTTTTTGCCTGATAACTTTGATGATGATAATGATAATGATGATGATGATGATGATGATGATGATGATGATGATGATGATGATGATGATGATAATAATGATGATGATAATAAAAGTTTTAATAATTCTACAACTTTATTATTAGTGTTTTACTGATGATGATGTTTCAAAAGCTACAAGTCTTGCAAATATTGAGTTTGATAACTTTAATTCCATCAATGTATTCATCATTCTGCAGCTGATAAAGAAAAAATGCATTAAAAATGTGCTCTCACCACAGTTTTTTATAAATGAAATTTTCAGAGACTATGGAAATGAAACACATATGACACAGGAAGGCTTTAAAAATCTTTTAAAGAAATTAAAAATTGGAAAAGTAGCTGGTGTTGATGTGCACAGTAGAAAAAAGAGATCAATATCAAAAATATCTTTACCATTCAAAAATCGCAAAAGAAGAAGTTTGTCTTTTCAAAAAGTAAATTTAAATTTGTAATAATTTTATAATAAATACTTGGGTTTGGCTGACATATCCAATAAAATCCAACAAAAAAATTACTTTTTTAAAGGTTATGCATGTCTTATTTTGTTTTGACAACTTAAGCATTCAAAAATGTGCTTAAAAAAAAAATTTATAACTTATTTGAAATATATATATATATATATATATATATATATATATATATATATATATATATATATATATATATATATATATATATATATATATATATATATATATATATATATATATATATATATATATATATATTATATATATATATATATATGTATATATATATATCTTAAAGAAATTTTTAAAAAACTAAAATTCATTAAGAAAATAATATTTTATTATGTACATAATATACCTTTTTTAAATTTTTTTTATAAATTTTCATATATTATGCAAGAGTTTTAATTATTTTTGAAAAACAGACTGCTTGATTCACAAATTTTAACTCTTTAAAGTCTTTTATAAAATGAATCACCTCAAAAAAATGACTTTATTTACATAACTTTGTGTTCAACTTCATTTCTATTTTTTCTCAAAAAATTAATTTTATATACTCTACTAAGTTTACTAATAATTTTGTAAGATAATATTTTCTACCAGACAAGTGCCAAAAATACTAAGTTATTTAGTGCTCTTTTGTTTATATACATGCATATATATATATATATATATATATATATATATATATATATATATATATATATATATATATATATATATATATATATATATATATATATATATATATATATATATATATATATATATATATATGCAGCATGGAAAATAACGGGCGGTCAACAGTCAATGACCGCCCGAAATGACTGAAATTGCTGTTTTGACCTCCCAAAAAGAATTCTAGCCGGTCAAGGTTGACCGGATGAAAAATCAGAGTTAGTCTGAAAAATCAGAAAAATCTTTTGTTAAACCCAATTTTAAATTTTTTAGATTTCATAACACCGTAAAACTTTGATAAAGCGTCTAAAACAATTTTATTGCTTATATGCTACTTTAAGTAGAAATAATTAATAAAATTGCTTTTATTCACTTTGTTGGAACGAAGCGAATTAAAATTCGCATCGCTGCAACGTGAAATTCGTCATCGTTTATTAATACTCGCTAATGCTTCGTTGAGTAATATATATGGCGTAAACTATATATATTAATTTTTTTGCTTCAGTTATTGAGATCAGTTTTATTGAGTGTTTTTTTCCTTAACTGATTTAAGTTCTTATTTTATTATTTTAATAATAATATAATATACAATAATTGATGATTTTAGCTAAGCACTAAATTTATTTTTGCTCTCTCTATATCTTTTTATTTATTTTTCTCATAATTTTTTGTTGCAAAATGCATTTAACAAATGACTTTTTTTTTCTTCTTATTTTAAGTTTTATTTATTTATAGTCTATAAAATAATAAATTATTAAGAAAGAGCGGCACACCAGGCCGCTTTGTGATGAAAATGCAGTTTTTATATTTCAATTACGTTTATATTTCTGATGCTGGCGAAAAGAAAATTCGTATTTGAAATTTTCGAGGTTGTTTGAATTCCCGCATTTTAGGTCATTCAACACGCTTTGAGTTGTCTGTGTTGTCAAAGCATTCAACACGCTTTGACAACACAGTTGGTGAGGAAGTTTTTTCTTTCTGAGCAGTTTCGAAAAAACTGCGCTTTGAGTTGTTTTATGCGTCCACGTGGTTGAAGACTTTAGTTTAAAGACTCTGTTTGATTAAAGCAGAGTGAATAAGATAAAAAAGATAAAAAGAAAAGAAAAAAACTATAAAAACATTAGTTGATTTGGATTTGTCATCAGACGAAACCTTTAAAAGTTTAAAATCGTCTTCCGAAAAAACTTTAGATTATGAATCAGACAAAATGTATCTTTAAAAAAATATTTTTAAGTTACAAAAACTGTCTGAAAAGAAACATGCATTCGTTAATTTTAAATCAAGTCTTTATTTTATTTACATGTCATAAAATATAATTACTGAAATAAAAATTTTAACAAAGAAAAAAAAGAAATTTGACCGCCCAAAAAAAAAATTTGACCGTCAGTTTTATGTATTAGCCGGTCAGTTTGACCGCTCGCCTTTGATTTCTTATTTTCCATGCTGTATATGCATATATATATATATATATATATATATATATATATATATATATATATATATATATATATATATATATATATATATATATATATATATATATATGTATATATATATATATCAACTCGTTTCTCCGGGCAGCGGCCTTGTTCGTCAAGGTTCGTGTTTCGGAGTTATAGAGTTGAGAGAGGGTTATAGCCACAAAATAAGTAGCCTCCTTGTCTGTAGTGGCCTTCTCGGCCTTGAGGAGGTGAAGTAAAATAAAAAAAAAAAAAAAAAAAAAAAATATATATATATATATATATATATATATATATATATATACATATATATATATAATTATTTTATAAACATCAATAAATATGATTTTCTCTCGATACTAAATTTATTTTTTATTTTTTAAAAGAAATTTTCGCTGGATTGTTGTGACCAGCGTCTTCAGCTTAAAAGATTTTGTTTGTTTTTGTTTATATGTTATTTTTAAACGGCAATTTTATTATATGTCAATGAAATGGTTTCGTCTTTTTCTGACGTAAGTGCATTAGAAATGGTGTCCAGAATTTTGTTGACACATATTGTCCCTCATCTAAATTGATACCACTTTGTTGAGGGGCACATTGGTGGTACTGTATTTCAAGCGCCTCACGAACTTTCCTATCAAACTTTTTGTTATTGACTTTTAGAGTTCTGCAACTGTCCCAGTTAATTTCTTGTGCACAATGTTTCATGTGTGTGGCTAATGCTGATCTTTCTGTTTTATTTCCTATTGTACTGTTTTTGTGTTGTTGCATGCGTGTTTTTATTTGCACTTTTGTTTCACCAATATACTTTTTGTTACAATGGCACTTAATAAGGTAAACTCCTGGGTGGCTGTTCCTTTGTAGTTTGGATTTATTTCTTGAAGTTAATATTGCTTCTAGGTTTAAGTTTGATTTAAAGACCGTTTTATATCCTGCCTTCCTAAACACTTTACGCAATTTGGGAGACAATATTGGTACCCAAGGTAATGAAATTGTTGGATACGTACTGGTGATGTTGTCAATGTTTTTAGTAGTCACTAGAGGTTTTTTGTACTTTCGTTTTATTTCTTTTATGATTTTTATAAGATTGGAATATTTGTAACCATTTTCGACAAATATTTGAATAAGGAATTTCAGTTCATTTTCTATATGTTTCTGACTGCATACATTAAATATATATATATATATATATATATATTTTTTCTAATTTCAAAAATGGCAAGGTTTCTTTTGGTGAAGAATTTTATAGAGATTCTGAATCTGCAAAAAAAAAATTTTTTTAAATAATGTCTTGCTGGGTGGGTCAGCGTTGTTTTGAACGGGAAAATGACTAAAATATGACTAATTAACAGGGGGAAACTATAATTAAAAAAAAAAACTTTTTCGAAAATTTTTGATTAATAATTTTTATGTTGAATTTTAGGAAAATTTAATATTTGGTTCAAAAAGTCATAAAAACAAACACAGGAAAGGAGGTTTTGTAAAGTGTATTTTTACATATATCACGCACTTTTTTTATATTTTAGACAAAGAATGTTACGGTAAAAGTGTATTGTTTTTTTCCTGTTTTTATCAAACTACAATAAACTTAAAAATAAGTTTATTACTCATAATGAGTATTAAGCTTATTTTAAATAAATTTAATACCCAATATGCTGAATTTTAATAAAACTTTTCATTTAGTTAATTAAAAATCGTCAAAACGCTTTATTCAAAGTCGATTTTAGAAAATTGTATTTTCTTTTAACAACAGCTGTTAAAGTTGTAAATTGGAATTACATTACTTTTATTATATAATAACTTTTCACATCTACTTATAAATAAGTGACAAGTATGTCAATGAAATATATTTTTGATTATAAAAGTGATTAAATAAGATTATATGAAGAAAATTTGATTATATATAAACTAAAATAAATACTGAAAATTGTGGAACAAATTATGGCAACCTTTAACAAAAAGTTATTGATAAAGACAAGAAACATGAAAAAAACCTCCTTAAATGAATTCATTGGTACTGGAAAGGAGTTGTTACTCTCTGAACTTCCAACATATAGAGACACACTTCGATATGCAGTTCTATTAAGAGAACAGTGTGATAAAAACTCCAGAACTTTTTTAATAAAAGATATGGCAAAAAAGGTAGCATGTTCTGTTATTGTCCAATGGCAAAAAGCAAACGCTAATTTTAAAGCTCCTATTATTTATTCTGAAAAGAATATTGTGTACAAAATTATAAAAGCTTGGAACATTGCATTTTTAATATCTGTGAACAAAGAAAATAAAAAAGATAAGAAAGATTTTATATTAAAGCTCGATAAGTTGTAAGTGTCAATTTTCTTATTGTAAAGAATTTGGATGCAAAGTTGTTTGTAAACAACAAGCCCACATTACATGCAACTGCTCTAAGGAGTTTAAAATTCCTATTATATGCATTTTTTATATTAAAACTGAAAGAGATAAAGTTGTTGCTAGAGAATTGCTTCAAATATCTTCCAAAGATTTGCCTGAACACAGCAAACAAGTTAAAACATTACATAATCATTCTATTAAAGAAGCTTTTAAGAGAAAAAGGGAAGAGAGCATAACAACAAATAAAATTTTAAGCAATGATTTTTCAATGACTGAAGATGAACTCTCTTACGAAGAATTCAACAAAGAACCTTGTACTTCAAGTTATTCGAAAATAAAAAAGTCTAAATATAATACTAAAAGTATTCGAAATGTCGCAATAAATTAGGTAAGGCCTTAATAAATTAGGTAAGGCCTTAGGTAAAATATGTTTTGTTATTTTAAATTAAAAAGAAATTTCTCTTCATTAAAATA